TACGTTTTGTTGGTCTTTTTCTTATGAACTTGTATGAGATCTTTATGCATTAAGATTAACCCTTCATGATGACTTTGTACTTTGTATTTGATTGTGACCTTCCTCCCCTACACATGTTTTAATTTTTATATCATCAAGTACATCACTGGTTATGGCTTTGAATTTGTTATAAAAGACTTTCGCCATGCCATGGTCATAAAGAAGCTGGCCATTGTGGACATGATTTATGTAGAGTTCACTTTTAATGTGAATCTATCCTCAGCAGAATGAGTGGCAAACAAGCCTGTTTGCTCTAATCTTCTATTGTTCCATGAAGATTCACCTGTGGGAAATTGTAGAGACGGAGTACTGGTAACTGAATACCTAACAAGGAACAGTGTTTCTGTTCTCTTGCAGTCCCTGGTTTCAGGATATGTGAGATCATAAGGCCATAGGAAGGCACCCTAGTAGAGTTTACACTTGGGAGTCACTGCGGGTCCTGCCATTAGCTGAGTGACCATGGGAGGGGGAATCACTTAGTTTTCTGTGTCTGTTTCTGCATCTCTGAGATGCCTGTGCAGCGAGTCTGTGAGGACTGAGGTGGCCGGTGTGGCTGCACGTTGAAACAATATCCTGTAGTGCAGACCTGCACTGGTTGCAGTTTCCTGTCGTTAGCCATGGCCTGCTGCATGCCTGGCTTTCCGCAAGAAATTTTTTCAGAGATGCTTTCCTCTTTCAAACCTGAAGACTGTCTTAGCTGGTGCTGCCATAACAAAATGCCATAGACCAGGTAGTTTAAACTGCAATTTATTCCTCTCAGTTCTGGAGACTGGAAGTCCAAGATCAAGGTGGCAGCAGAGTCAGTATCTGGTGAAAAATCTTTGCTTGGGTTACAAATGCCCTCCCTAGGTGTGTGCGGTTGGAGAGGAAGGGAAGGAGGTGAGAGAAATCTCTTCTGTTTTCTTCTGATAAGGGCACTAATCCCATTATGAGGGCCTCATTACCCTCCCAAAGACCCCATCTCCAGACGCCATGACATCAGGAGTTAAGACTTCCATGCAGAAGTTTCTACCTAGCAGAGACTGGCTCCCTGATCAGGCTGATGACCCCATGTCCTTCACATTCCACTCATGTTAGCAGTCGATGAGACAGTTTGGAGAGAGGACTCCTTGCCCCCTAGGACAGTCCCTAGGCTGTGGGTGGGGAACACTGTTAAGCAGCTGGTGTCCTAGGTCCAGGCACTTCCTGGCTTTCTCACAGGCTTGCTGGCAATAAACTACATAGACAAAAACCCTGCCTTACACACAATGTTTCTCTACATTGAAAAAGTTTAGCTTTGAAATACTAAGATGGCATTTCTCTGTGGCCAGCCTCATTAAGCCCTTTGAAACACCCTTGTACAGTCAGATGTCGGGAACACTATCCGTGATACAGAATAAAGGGTTTGCTGCAGGAATGGGACTTTACATGCTGGCAGTTGCTGGGGATGATATCCATAGAGGGCTGTTCCAGTTCCTTCAGGAAAGAAGTGGACCTTGGCAGAGGGGTGCAAGCCCAAACCAGTGCCTGTGAAGAGAGCTTAGACTCTCACTGAAGCCACAGCCTCCAATTCATGGGTGACCCACAGAAGAAGTTGGTACTGTGTGCCACAAAGCTGCTTCCAGGCCTGGCTTGGGACTTGGGGAAGGTACAGGGTGGGCTGTGGGGCAGCGGGAGAGGTTGGCCTGACTGTCTCCTTCCCTTCTGCCAAGGTAGACCTGCAAGTTGGCACAAACAACCTGAAGCTGCAGTAGTACTTGTGCCCCACATGACCTTCGATGACCGACTGCTTCCATTCCCTCTGCCTTCGACATGTCACGCAGCTGTCTCTGGGCCAGCGTGGCCTCAGAAGCATTTAGGAAGGAAATTTTGGGAAACTTGTTGCAGCTGAGTGCTGTGCACCCAGTATACGGTCACCATGGGTACCATTTGCAGAGAGGGGAGCGGAATAGGAGAGAAAGAACTAAGTGACGTGCCCAGAGTCACGTGGCTGTTATGTAGCATTCGCTGTGGTGCCTTTAATTGCTGCCCAGCACTTCCACTTCATTACATCAAGAACCTGCCCCCTGCACTCCAGGAGTGGCCCTTGGAGCTACCAACCCATGGAGGGCTTCTCAGGAGAGGGAAGGGTCCAAACACCCTGCCCTCTCTATAACCATTGCAGACCCCAACCCTAGTCTTTCTGACATCGCTGTTCATTTCACCATGCACACTTTCTCCCAGGTAATAATTGTCCTATGTTCATTTTGTAGGACTATCTTCACTACTTTGGGCTTCCCGTGAGCACTGAATTTGGCCATTGTGTGCAGTAAGCTTGTACTTAATGTGTTTGGGCCCTTTAACAATGATGGCTGCCTTTTTAGTCAGCTCAGTGGCTTGGCAGGGACTACAGGAGTCCTGCTTACAGCAGAGAGAAGTGAGACTCAATAGTTCAAGTTCGTTTTCCCAGCGAGGGGAAGTTGAGAACTGAGCAGAGGTCTGCTGGATCCATCTCTGAGCCACAGAAAGCCAGGCCCCGATCAGCTGTGAGCTCCCTGGGTGGCAGCTCGAGGAAGGATGGACGCAGCCATGGGGGCTGCTTGGGGGTGGGGAATGGAAGGGCCCCCTCCCCTCCAGATCCTGGATCCTCTATGGGGCAAGCACATACTTTCTTCACCTCTAGAAATTCAGGGATGAGGTTGTTGGAAGCAGGGAGATTAAGTGGACCCAGAAAGGCTTGAAAGTATTTTTCTAAACTGACAGTCTCTGTCTGCCAACCTGTGCTTCTGAGTTCCGTCAGCACCCGGGACTAGCTGATATGTGATTCCTGAATACTGTGTCCTAGTTTAGTCTGGCTACTATAACTAAATACCATAGACTGAGTGGCTTATAAACAACAGCAATTTTTTTTAATAGTTTCAGAGGGTTGAAGTTCAAGGTCAAGAACCAACAGATTCTGTGTCTGATGAGTCTGCTTCCTGGTTCATGGATGATGCCATCCTGCTGAGTGTGTCCATGAGGAGAGGGCAAGGGAGATGTCCAGGTTTCTCTTATAAGGAAGGTCACTGAACCTATTCATAAGGGCTCCACTTTTACGCCCTGTTCGCCTTTCAAATGCCATACCTCTAAATACCATCACATTGGATTAGGGTTCAGTCTATAAATCTTAGGGGGCACAGGCCTTCAGGCCGTGGCATCATGCACACATTATTTTCTGTGAGTGCCATCCACTGTAATTAGGCTGAGTCCTTTCACCGAGGGAGTTCTGATGTAAGGGTTTTTGGCTTCCTGCCCCTTTGTGGTGGCCTTTGTAACATCCCCTTCTGCTCGGGAGGGACTCAGCATTTGCTAAGAGACCAGGTTTGTCTCAGTCCTTACTGATAATCTTAGGAGGTGAAACTTCCATGAGGCAATTATTTATTTAAAAAGTATGAATTTGAAATGACTTTAGAGTTATAGAAGGAGAAGTCATAGAAGTTATAGAGGTAGTGATAATAAGAAAGTAATAGAGTCAGTACCAATATTCCTATCTGTCCACTGAGGACCTCTTTCTGTTCCTGGACCCAGTCTGTGACAGTTTGTTGGTTGTTCCTTATCATTCATAACCTTGACACATCTGAGGAGGGCCACGTATTTTATAAACTATCCCTTGGTTTGGGTGTATTTCATGGATTTTCACAGTTCAGCAGAGGCTGTGGGTTTTTGGGTAGAACACCATGGAGGCATAGTGCCCTTCTTGGCACATTACATCCCAGGGCACAACTAACCAACCATGATGTTAACCTTGGTCACTTGGTAAGGCGATGTCCACTAGGTTTCTCCACTGGAAAGTTGCTCTTTTTCCCTTTCTACTCCTTATTTGCTATATTTGTGTCACCAAGTCTGGCCTGTGCCCAAGGGTAGGTGGTGCGGTGCGGGGTGGATTCTCACGTCCTGGGGCAAGGAGTAGCAAAGAATTTGTGAACATTCGTTGTGAAAACTACCAAGCCATGTACCTATATTTTGGGGGAGATGCTTTGATGCTATACAGATAGCCTTTTTCCAGTGAAGTGATTTTTCAGATGACTTTGTTCAGTTCTGAGCCCAGGAAAACAGGCTGTCGCCTTCTCAGCTTCTGTCATTAAGTTAGTGAATTTATTAGCAAAATGCTTACGGAGAATCCTATTTCTCTGCGGATGTTTGATGCTGTATCAGATTTCTGCTGGAAGTGGCATTTTAATTCTGGAGAACCTGGAGGCTGTGTCTCATGGGAGCTGAAGGCAGAAAGCTCATGGGCCTGATGTCAGGAAAGAACACTGCCTTGCATGTGTGACTCACTCATTTGCTTGCAAACGTAAGGATCAGAGGTGTTAAGATAACGTCAGTCGCAGACTGTATTTTTAGATGCCATTTTTCTCAGGCATCTAAGAGGCACTGAAGGCTGTATTTGAACTTTAAATTGTGTGCCTTGAAGGAAAAAGGATTTTAAGTAGCTCTGGCCATACTGACCTTGTGGCTAATTCAGTGGACTCCGTGTTAAAGGGTTCTGAGGCCAGTGATGGATTTGAGAATTGTCCATCACCTGGTTTGTGAATTTCCCATGAAAAACTCTACTCAGACTCCATTTTTAGCATTCTGACCAGCTCTGTTATTGATCAGTGGTTGCCATTCATTTCAGCAGAACAGTGGGAAGGTGAATCTCCCATAGGAAAAGAAATACATAATGGGTTTCTAAATAAATATAAGTCTGAATATCTGCTTGAACGTCTTTTCTAAACCTCAGTGAGAGAGTTAATAGACCTATGAAAGTGTTCGGCACACCCGCACCTGGGCACCTGGGGGCAGAATACCTGACTAACTACTCTTACACTGGGGAAACAAAGCAGCAGGGGCAGAATACCTGACTAACTACTCTTACACTGGGGAAACAAAGCAGATCTTTAAGGCAAGTGGTTCACAGGCCACTGTACCTGAACTACAGCTGCAGGAGGCAAACTGGTGAGATCTGGAATTTTCTCTTCTAGGATGATTTCCTGTTCAGTGTTTCCATTTTAAGCGGGATCCTGTGCAGCATCCTGGCTGTGCTGAAGTTCATGCTGGGGAAGGTTCTGACCAGCAGAGCCCTTATAACAGACGGTGAGTAAGGCCAGTGTGCCTGATCTCTGGGGCTGAGCCCTTGGTGAGGGAAGATGCCATCCGGGTCACTTCGTAGCTGCTTATCTTGCAGGAGAACTGAACAGTTTAGAACCCATTTACCCTATCTCCTCCTCCACATGGTGTTCATGATTCTCTGGGCTCCTATAACAGCACAGCCATCTCATGCCCCAAGAATTTAATAAACTCTTTGTGAATCCCCTGTATCCTGACCTAACTGGGAGGCTCGGGACTCCCAGCCTCTTAATCGTAAAACACAAGGGCTTCCCAGACTCTTAGGCCGAATGGTTCCAGGTAAAAAGTAAATTTTGTCTTGGAGTGTTCAGATTTTCCTCTGTCAATTCTGCGTGCTCTCTTTCCCTCCAGCTAGTGAGCTGCTCATGCAGGGGCTCAGGTTGCAATGTCCAGGCGCCTGGGCTGGGGAAGGTATCCATGAATTCTCTGCCTAAAGCCCAAATCAGCTAGGAAAGCCTTTGTGTGGGTCAGGAGTATCTTCCTGTGTGGCCCTTTGCGGTGACAGGGAATAAGGTTTGTGACTGCAGGTGACACGCACTTGGGCCCCAAACTAGTGTTGACAGAAATGAGATTTGACAAACAGACCTCTGCCCATTTTATTTGCATTCATTTCTGAGATGGGCAGTCTAGGGACTTGTAGTAAAGTAGTGGCAGGTCAAGGTACAGGCTTGGGGTGTATCTCTACTGACTAGAGCACAAATCACTGGACTGACTGCTTTTCTTTCCCTCCTCCCTTGCCCCTTCTACCTCTCCCCTCCGTCCCCCTCCCTTTCTTGGCCTGCTTCCCTACTTTCTTTCAAGTAAAGAAAGCCTTCCTCCTCCCTACCCCTCAGAGTTCTTTCACATGGAAAAATGCATCAGGGTGGTGGCTCTGACCCCTCTTTCTGGCCACACTGATGCCTCATTAGGTGTGGAGCTGGGCTTTACACAGCGGAATCCAGGGACATGAGGTCACAATGTTTGCCACCAGGGACTGAGCTCCGGTCTGAGAATCCGTCCAGTCCCTGTCCGCACTGCCAGCTCCCCACTTCCCAGTCTTGTGTGCAGCGCTGTCTCCTGAAGGCAAGAGAGGGTCCCACTGTGTGGCCCCAGCTGCCTTGGCAAGGGCATCGCCTGTGCAGAGGGGTGCAGGTGGCGGTTCCTTTGGAAGGCCTGAAGAAGTGGGGTGGTCTGACTTGATGGAGTAGACCGTAAGAGTGGGGGACCCCAGGTCCTACCCAGCTGACTCCTACCACCAGTGTGGCAGCATTAAACTGCCTGGTGGTGGAGGTGCTGAGGTGTTGGTTAAAGACAGGTTCCTGGGCCTCCCCTTTGAAGACTCTGATCCCAAGGGAATGCGTGGGGCCCAGGAGTGGGCGTTTCATAGCAGTGTCCCATCGTGTGGTGCATTCTGAGGTCTGGTGCTGCCTCCACGGCCACCCCCAGGGGCCAGGCGCAGTGTGGCCCAGGAAGGTTGACCCTGCTGTGTTCTGCAGCTCCTGCAGGAGCCCGCTGCTTTGAGATTGGATTTTCCAGCTGCCTTTGAGGTTCCTTTATATAACGGACCTGGACCAGGTCTGTAGGGCCCTGCCTTGTTGGAGCCATGTGCTTTGTCTTTTTTCTCCCTGTTCTTATGAACAGTACAGGCAGACAGCTTTCTGAGTGCCTGGGGTAGGGGGCAGCTTGGGGGCCTCTTTTCCATGTGCCAGTCAGTCCCTTTGCCCCTCTGCTTGCAGCGGTCTGGCTGGTGTCTGTGTGTAGCAGCTGACTGCGGTCAAGATGCAGAAGCTTGAGTCAGACCCAATATTAGACCTGCCTGCGACCATGGGGTGCCCCCCACCCTCCACTGTAGTCCTTTTGCCTTGGCTGGTGGTTTTTCCTTAATGTTATAGCTATTCCATGTGCAAATTTCAGTTCAGGCAAAGTCACTGGACTTCCAGCTTCCCACCGTTTTATATGGGCACAGAGAAGGACCAAATGCTACTTAGCTTTCTCTAATAAAATATCTTCTGACTTTGATTTTCACCCATAAAACCATATACACTGAAGCAGTATTTCCACCATACTCTTCAGCCAGGAAGGAGGGGAAATTATAAAGAAAAGTGAGTGGAGAGAGATGGGCTGGAGAGAAGGGTGGGAGACTCATAAAACATGCAGGGCTCTGGGGTGAATAGCTGCAGGGTTTTGATGGAGAGAGAGGTGCTGCATCCAGGAGGAGGGCAGCCCCTTGCCTGGCCTGTTACCCTTAGGGGGCCCCTGCTTCTGGGAGTGGGCATGTCTCAGTAAATACAAGGCAGTAATTACAGCCTCCCGCTAATTGTGTTGTCTGGGGTGTTTCCTCATTCATTGATCAGCAGAAGGAGGAAGCAATCTGTAATTATCTGCCCTGGTCCCTCCCTCCCTTTGGAGGTGGGCAGGGTAGGGAGTTACCGTGGCTATCAATCATGTTGGGGGTTCTCTAAGGGGCTGACTCTGGAGCCCAGCGGTGGGGGATGCTGCCCTGCCCTGTCCTGAGCTGAGCTAAGTGCCTTCTCTGTGCAAGGAAGTGGGTTCAGCAAACTGCTGCTCCTGTGGGAGGGAAGGAGGGAGGAGGAAGGGAGGCCCTTGCCAGTCACAGGTAGCTGGAGCCCTGTGGGAGCTGGGTCACGGTGAGTGTGCCCTGCCTTTTCTCAGGGGTGTGTCCTTAAAGGTAGGAAGCAGGTCAGGGAAAGGGGACAGACGGTATGGGTGACAGATTTCAAATTTGCTCACTTTATGGTTTTTTTTGTTTTGTTTTGTTTTGGTTTTTCTCCGGTACCAGGAACTGAACTCACGACCTTGTGCTTGCCAGGCAGGCGCTTTTGCCACTATTGCTCACTTTATGGTACGCAGATTTTTGTCTAGTTTGATTTTGTTGCTTTAGATATTTAGTCAACATACATACTGCACTCAAGAGTAGGATGAGACTTGCTCTGTGTTATTTAGAGTATAATGGAGGACGGGGTGTAGCTCAGTGGTGTAGCACTTTGCTAGAAAGCATGAGATCCTAGGTTCTGTCCCCTGCTGTGCAAAAAGTGTGTGCATGTCTGTGTGTGTGTGTGTGCGCGCATGAGCGCATGTGTGTTGTGCAACAGAATACCATGCTGGGGGATACTCTGAACAGGGGTCCAGGACCCAGTCTCAGTTCTGTCCACAGGGTCAACTGGGGCAAGCAGAAGACCCTTCTGTGATGGGTCTGTCAGGACTGTTCTGCTCCTTTCCATGTCTAAAATACCCAGAGAATCTATGCTGATTTTTGAAGTATACGAAAAACAGAAGATCCTGCATAAAATCAACACACCTAACTATACAGATTCTAATCTAGTTGTTAAGGCCAGACTGGAGGGGCCTCCAGTCAGAATGTCCCTGGTCCCTGTATGTTGTTGACCCACAAACAGGCCCGGTTAGGACTGCTCCGTGGTTTTAGCTGAGGGGACAGGGACCAGCTCGTGCAAGGGACTGCCGGAGCCTGGTGTGCTGCCCTTGGTGTGGGGGTTGGTGGGGAGCAGGCTTGGTGCTTGGGTTCTTCCTGCCGGGTGACTGAGTGGGAAAGCTACACCGTGCTGGGGTGCGCGGCAGCGCAGCCGAGGGCTGCATGCGCGTTCTCATGCAGGCTCACAAGAAGTGGAGCTGAAATGAGTCAGCCTTTGTCATGTGATCAGATAGGACCCCCGCTCTTCCAGAAGACGCAGGTGAAGGAGGCCAACGTGCCTCAGGTGCTTAGGTGGGGCTGGCAGGTACCCTCTGGTGACTTGGTGGAGCTGAGCGGCCATCTAGTGGCTGCCTGGGGAACCTCAGGCTCTCCGCCTCTTCTAAAAACACCATTGTGTCAGGGCTCCTTAACAGTTCCGAAGCGGGGAGCTCCCTCTCCGGGGGTGACGGAGCCAAGGCCATGCCCCACGTGGGTCCTTCCCCCTCCTCTCCATCTGCTAATTCACTAATGAATGCGACAATCATTTGTGTCCCTGATAAACGCTAGCACTGTTCTGGGGCTTGGAAGACAGCAAGGAAAGGAAATGCTCCTGTGTTTAGGCTTCAGTTTCTAGTGGGAAAGAAAGATAGTAGAAAGAAAATGGCCCAGGGCTGGGGATTTAGCTCAGCGGCAAAGCGCCTGCCTGGCAAGCGCAAGGTCGTGAGTTCGGTTCCCGGTACCGGAGAAAAACCAAAAAAAA